GCTGATGTCAGCTCACTTTGCAGATTGTTAATTGTAATCCTCATTTCATGCATCTCCCTCCTGAATTCCTCCAGAACTTGGGTTAATATTTCCTTCGTTTGGTCACTCTTGCTGTTCCCTGTGTCCCTGTTGCAACCTCCTGCCATTTTGCCCCATGTCAAGAGAGAGAGCAAGAGAGAGAGAGAGAGAGAGCAAGAGAGAGAGAGCAAGAGAGAGAGAGCAAGAGAGAGAGAACAAGAGAGAGAGAACAAGAGAGAGAGAGCAGGAGAGAGCGAGAGAGAGAGAGCGAAAGAGAGAGAGAGAGAATGTATGTGTGTGTGCGTGCGTGTGAGTGTGTGCGTGTGTGCGTGTGTTTGTTTTTGCGTGTGTGTGCGTGCGTGTGAGTGTGTGCGTGTGTTTGTTTTTGCGTGTGTGTGCGTGTGTGCTTGCAAACGTACGTGTGCGTGCGTGTGTGCTTGCAAACGTACGTGTGCGTACATGTGTGCGTGTGTTTGTTTTTGCATGTGTGTGCGTGTGTGCTTGCAAACGTACGTGTGCATGCGTGTGTGCTTGCAAACGTACGTGTGCATGCGTGTGTGCTTGCAAACGTACGTGTGCGTGCGTGCGTGCGTGTGTGCGTGTATTACGGGTGTCCTGTAAAATGTCAACCTCTACTCAAAATGAGCCACTTTGATATTTTAAATGTATCTGATATACTGAACAAGAATTTGGTAATATTTTACCTCTGTACACCTGAAGAATTGACCAGAGAGGGGTACCTACCTTTCAGCCTCCCGACAGGTAGGTATACACCCACACACACACTCTTAACCTGCGTGTGTGTGTGTGTGTGTGTGTGTGTGTGTGTGTGTGTGTGGTGTGTGTATGTGTGTGTGCGTGCGTGCGTGCATGTGTGTGTGTGTGTGTGTGTGTGTGTGTGTGTGTGTGTGTGTGTGTGTGTGTGTGTGTGTGTGTGTGTGTGTGTGTGTGTCTGTGTGTGTGTGAACTTACCTAGTTGTGCTGGTCGGGGTGGAGCTCCTTCTCTTTGTTCCCGCCCTCAACCGTAGTGACAGTGTGTGTGTGTACTTACCTAGTTTTACTTACCTATTTGTGCTTACGGGGGTGGAGCTCTGGCTCTCTGGTTCCGCACCTCAACTGTCAATCAACTGGTGTACAGATTCCTGAACCTACAGCCACAGCCACAGGGGGGAGGGGAGGCTGTGGCTGAGTGTACAGCGCTTGGGGCTCGAAATCCTAGGGTCTGGGCTCGATCCCGGCGCCGGCGGTAACAAATGAGCAGAGTTCCTGTCATCCTTGATGCCCCCTCTTCACCTAGCAGTCAATAGGTACCTGGGAGTTAGACAGCTGCTACGGGCTGCTTATTCCTGGGGGTGTGTAACAAAAAGGAGGCCTGGTCGAGGAGCGGGCCGCGGGGACGCTAAGCCCCAAAATCATCTCAAGATAACCTCAAGATAACCTACTGGCCTCTATCATATCTACACTTAAAACTATGTATGGAGTCAGCCTCCACCACATCACTTCCTAATGCATTCCATTTATCTACAACTCTGACACTGAAAAAATTCTTTCTAACGTCTCTAAGGCTCATTTGGGCACTCAATTTCCACCGGTGTCCCCTAGTGCGTGTGCTCCTGGTGTTAAATAGTCTGTCTTTATCTACCCTATCAATTCCTCTGAGAATCTTGAATGTGGTGATGATGTCCCTCCCTAGCTCTTCTATCTCCCAGTGACGTGAGTTTTAATTCCCGTAGTCTCTCCTCGTAGCTCATAACCCTTAGTTCGGGTACTAATCTGGTGGCAAACCTTTGAACCTTTTCCAGTTTAATCTTATGCTTGACTAGATATGGACTCCATACTGAAGCCCCATACTACAGAATTGGTCTGACATATGAGGTATACAAAGTTCTGTATGATTCCTTACACAAGTTTCTAAAGGCCGTTCTTATGTTGGCCAACCGGGCTTATGTCGCTGATGTTATCCTCTTGATATTGGCTTCAGGGGACAGGTCTGGCGTCTTTCTCTTTCTCTGACTCTTGAAGTATTTCATTACCAAATGATACCTTGTATCTGGTCTTCTGCTCCCTACACCTATATTCATTACATTACATTTGCTCGGGTTAAATTCTAATAACCACTTGTTCGACCTTTCTTGAAGCTTGTCCAGGTCATCTTGAAGCCTCAAGGTGTCCTCCTCTGTCTTAATTCTTCTCATAATTTTGGCTTCGTCAGCAAATATTGAGAGGAATTAGTCTATACCCTCTGGGAGATCATTTACGTATATCAGAAACAGGATAGGTCCGAGTACAGAGCCCTGTGGGACTCTACTGGTGACTTCACGCCAATCTGAGGTCTCACCCCTCACTGTAACTCTCTGCTTCCTATTGCCTATGTACTCCCTTATCCACTGGAGCGCCCTACCAGTTACTCCTGCCTGTTTCTCCAGCTTATTTATCAGCCTCATATGAAGTACCGCGTCAAAGGCTTTCCGACCGTCTAAGAAAATGCAGTCCGCCCTTCCTTCTCATTCTTGCTTAATCTTTGTCACCTGATCGTAGAATTCTATTAAGCCAGTAAGACAAGATTTTCCCTTCCTGAACCCATGTTGATGGGTTGTCGTGAAATCCCTTCTCTCCAGATTTATTACTAGTTTTTTTCTAACAATCTTCTCCATCACTTTGCATGGTATACAAGTTAATGACACTGGCCTGTAGTTCAGTGCCTCTTGTCTGTCGCCCTTTTTGTATAATGGGACTACATTAGCCGTCTTCCATATTTCTGGTAGGTCTCCCGTCTCCAGTGACCTGGAGCCGCATGGAGAGTATGGAGAGTGTATGCCACTCTCCATACACGGTGGAGAGTGGTAAGGAAAGTGCTTCTGCACATTCTTTTAATACCCATGGTGAGATTCCGTCCGGACCAACAGCCTTTCTCACGTCCAGATCCAACAGATGCCTCTTGACTTCATCTCTTGTAATTTCGAATCCTTCCAAGGCCGCCTGGTTTACTGCCACCTGTCCTAACGCAGCAAGTTCACCTTGTACTATTGTGAAGACCTTCTGGAACCTCTTGTTGAGTTCTTCACACACCTCTCTGTCATTCTCTGTGTCCTGTATCTAATATTCATAACCTGTTACTTCACTATTGTTTTCCTCCTGATGTGACTGTGGAGTAGCTTTGGTTCGGTCTTGGCTTTATTAGCTATATCATTTTCATATTTTTTCAGCTTCTCTTTTCAAACTAACATACTCATTCCTGGTTCTCTGGTATCTCTCTCTCTGCTTTCAGGTGTTCTGTTATTTCGGAAGTTCCTCCGCGACATTTTATTAATTTTTTTCCTTCTATTCATGCTCTATTAAACCATTATTTTGGTTTAGCAAGAGAACCTGGATGAGAACTTGGGTCAAATAGCGTCAAGAAACGCGGGGTGTGTTACCACTGCGCCACTAAAGTCTTAATAGGACTTAATATGGAAAAAAAAGAATTCTTCTTTTGCTTCTCGTTTTTTTTTCTGTCGGGCTGGGATAAACCTGTTTACTGCCTCCTGACACTTTTCGGTGACATAGTCCATCATGTCTTGTACAGACTTAGTTCTGAATTCTGTGTCCCATGGTATATCCCTTAGGAATTTTCTCATCTCCTCATAATTTACCTTTCGGTACGCCAGCCTTTTGTTCTCTAGTTCTTTTTTTCTGGAGATAAATCCTAGCTCTACCAAGTACTACTCAAAGATCAATACACTGTGATCACTCATTCCCAAAGGGGCTTTCAACTGAACTTCTCTTATATCCGACTCATTTAGGGTAAATATCAGATCAAGAATATCCGGTTCATTCTCTCCTCTCTTTCTTGTCGGTCCCTTGATGTTTTGGCTTAGAAAGTTTCTTGTTGCCACGTCTAGCAGCTTAGCTCTCCATGTGTCTGGTCCTCCATGTGGGTCTCTGTTCTCCAAATCTAGCTTCGCATGGTTGAAGTCTGTCATGATCAGTAGTCTGGATCCGTTCCTGCTAGCCACAGAAGATGCTCTTTCTATTATGTTAATGGTGGCCATGTTGTTTCTATAATATTCCTCTCTGGGTCTTCTGTCGTTTGGTGAGGGGTTATATATTACTACTACTATAATTTTTTGTCCTCCAATTGCTACGGTATCTGTTACATAGTCACTGAAATCCTCACAGCCCTGCTGAAATCACAGTTATGAGGGTGTCCAGCTGCTGGACACCTTTTTTGACCAGTAGAGTGGCAGTGTTGATGGCTTCAGGGTGGTTACTGCAAGATTCAGGGACTCTTAAAGCTCTACTATGATCGTTGGTTGCATCACATTCCAGGAGATAGTGTGATAGTGGCTTTTCTGTGATTGTTTGGCAGAAGATGCATTCTCTCTGTCAGGGTTCACCAATCTCTCAGTTGCATCTGTAACTTAGACGTAGTCTATATAACCGAACTGCTATTTCCCTGTGGATTCCTTTTGGGATATTTAACCTTTCTAACTTGATGGCCTGAAGATACCATATTGCAGAGGACGAACCTTCAGCTACTCTCTGGTGTTGATGGGCTTTGTTGAGGAGTGTGAGTTTTTTTGCTGGTGATGATTTTTATGTACTCTAGGCTGGGTTAGATTGTTTTATGTATAACTGGATGGCGAGCTGCCAATTTAGCAATTTCAACGGCTTTCTCATTTAATGGGATTCCAACATGGGATGGGATCCAGTTTAAGGTTACGTTGAGTCCTTTGCCTTTAGCGTCTGCTCCAAGATACAAAATGGTGGTAATTATTTCCACGTTGTCTTTCCACTGCTTTTTTCCTAATATTTGAAGTGCAGCTTTTGAGTCTTGTGTATGGTTGCATTTTGAGTGTTTTGTGCAATCACATATGCGAATGCCTGTTGTATGACAAACCGCTCAGTTTAGGCTGATGATACTAGTCCTCCCAGTCTCCAATATGTCTGTTCGCTGTCTGTGCAAAGAGCAGCGCCAGCACTCATATTCTGTATCAACTGACCCTCCTGTGAATATGTGGGTGGCTCCTGCTACTGCAATGCTGCTCATTTGCTTTTCTGTGATGAGCCTTAGGGTTGACGGATCAAAGGCAGCCTTTTTCATCGGAAGACCTTCTATTACAATTTTGAAGGTGGGCTCCTCCCACGGTGGGGAACCTGTGTAGTTTGGGTGTTACAGAGGACATAACAGTTTGGGATTATATACCCAACTACATCAGACTTGACAAAGATTCATTGCCTAACATATCGATTAATAGAAGTGACATGAAGGTGAGATGATTAAGAGCATATTAGCTGGGGATTCCTCATTCTTGGAATGCACTACCCACACTTATTTGCATAATTTATTACCTATCACAAATCTTACCAATTATAAAATTAACTCATTTATATAATCCCGGACTCAAATGAATATTATCTAATTTATAAATGAGGATTCAGTAAAATTTCTTTCAGTAACAGATTTACACTCCGCAATTTTGCATGAATTAGTTCAGTCAATTGAATGATTACAATCTCTTATGTGAGAAAATATTGCATTGTACTTTCGACCTGTTCTTATGCTATATTAGTGTTCTTTTATTCTCACGTAAAGATGTTCTTGTGTCTGACCAACATAGAACTTATTACAATCCTTACATGGAATTGTATACCCACATCCACTGCAGCTTCCCGGGGAATTTTAAATGAGTGTTTTATGTTATCAAGATTCCTAAGTGCTACATAGATATTCAATTATTTTAGTAAATTAGTAAATTATAAATTACACTAAAATTATCAAGAAATGGCAGAATTATTGTATTCTTCCTTTTGAGCTCTTCTTTTTCAAACTGAAGAAACTGTTACGAGCAATTTGGGCGTTTTATCAATAAATGACTTAGGGTATTTTCAATTTAAACCAACATTGTATATGGCACTTATTTCATCATCAATAAACTCAGGACAACATATCCTTAAAGTGCTCTGAAAAATACAGCATGTTTTGCTCTTTGATGACGAGATGAGTTAATGAGTATACAACACCCAACATTTGTTGGTTTTCTGTATACAGAAAACTTAAAATTATTTTTACATTTATAAATTAGCACATCTAGGAATGGTAAGGAGTTGTCTTATTCCATTTCAATTGTAAACATAATGGTGGAGGCTGGATTATTTAATTCTAATAAAAATATTTCCAGGTTTCTATTCTTAGGCCATAATCAAAACCTATTAACAAAACGGAACAATGTATATTTAGGAGGCAAAATTTTTACTTAATAGTCTTCTTAATAGAATTTCAAGAATAGATTGCTTAAAAAAGGGAAAAAGAGGGATACCTTGAGGTGCTTCCGGGGCTTAGCATCCCCGCGGCCCGGTCGTCAACCAGGCCTCCTGGTTGCTGGACTGATCAACCAGGCTGTTAGACGCGGCTGCTCGCAGCCTGACGTACGAATCACAGCCTGATTGATCAGGTATCATTTGGAGGTGTTTATCCAGTTCTCTCTTGAACGCTGTGAGGGGTTGGCCAGTTATGCCTCTTATGTGTAGTGGAAGCGTGTTGAACAGTCTCGGGCCTCTGATGCTGATACCCAACAACTGTTGTTGTTACCCAACAACTGAGAGTTCTCTCAGAATACCCTCAAAGTAACCCTCACTCAGGGTTACTCATAGCCATTCCAAATTTTTGGTAATAGAATTCATTATTAAAAACTAAATTTGGGTTAATAACACACAATTTTATAAATTGTATTAACGTAGGAACTGGATGGAGCAAATCATATTTTAACAGTTCAGATAAAAATCTTAATAACTCATCAACTTGAACTTTAGTGAATAAAGAAGTTACCTCTAAGCTAACCATTTTATAAACACAGAGGTCTTCCTTATTTCATCATTTTGTTTTCAACTAAATCAACATTATTCTTTATATTTGAATTATAAATATTTCCAACATTAAGACTGTCACGCGGCTCACAGAAGGAGGACATTGGTGTGTTTATGTTGTGGTGCCCAATATCACCCATTGCTGCCCCGAGCTCACTAACAAAGTGTTTTATCGAATTCTGAAATTGTATAAAATTTGTTCAGATCCATTCATATCCCAATCAACTCTTTGCCTCCCCCCTTCCTTCTAACTTACAGTCTCCGATCATAGCCCTAACCCCCCCCTGCCATAACACCAATCCCCCCTGCAATAACCACTAAGCTTCCGGCTTACCCAACAATTCTAGCCTCCCCTCCCCTACCCACAGACCCTCCCACCCCAGAAAGAGAGAGCACGTGGGTGAAGCATGCCAATCCCGTCCACAAACTTAATGCACCTCCATTTGGACGTAATCAACAGAAGTGTCCCATTTGAGGTGCATCTGTGGAGTTTAAACCACACAATTTTTACGCATTCCTGGACAAATAAACGCCGGCCTCTGTGTTGTAGTTGTGTTTGTTGGATTACATGTTTATGAAGGACATCATACTGCAGTTTAGATTCTTGCCAAAAAAGGCTGGGTATTTGTCCCTGCAGGATAGAGCTGGATTACTGGGCTTCTCCTCCTCTCGCCTAATATGTTGCATTTGTTATGGAATAGGCAAATTCTTTAAAATGCTGTATATTAGAAAACCTAATGCACCATAATATTGAGGTTTAGTTCCTCAGTGTAGATGGGTTAGGTGGGTTGCTTGGGTACGTGCGTTTCATAGTCAGAATAGTTGCATTTGTTATGGTGTTTGTTTATTATTTATAGTCACCATTTTTACGTGTGACGAACAGAACTTCAGCTCCTGGACCCCGGTACGTCCTGCCAACTGTCGTTTAATGCACTGACTCTGCCTAAATTGACTATCTTCCACTTATTTCCTATTGTATTTATTTATCTCAATTTATAAAGACTGTCCTAGTGAAATTAGTCTATTGTTCTCAGCATCTTGTAAGTTGTGATCATGTCGACTGTTTTCTTCGGCCCACTAGGCTTACGAGATCTTATGCAATTAGCCCACATTCATAGTTTTACCCACCCAGCTCCTGCACAATCTTCTTGCGACACTCTGTACTCCCTCAAGTTTGGTTTCATGCATCACAAGGTGCAGATTCCCACTTGGTTCTGCATGTTCTAATATTGTTCTAATATATTTTATGTAAATTGCATAAAAAAGAGACCAGATTAAGTTATTTAAAGGATACTCCTATATCTGCCAGCGTCCCATTGGTGTCAGTGTTCCTGTTTGTTACTTCTGTTGATAATGCTGGAATTATATCTGTTCCTAAATTTGTTCCTAAATTTGTTTCTCATTCCTGTTCCTGTCGCTGCCTTTCACGACACCTCGTCCCCACTCCACCTTCCCCATCTTCACTATCTTACACTTGCTGGGTTTGAGTTACCCAGCACACATCTGTTTACTCCTGGAGATTGTGAAGATCATCCTGTAACTTCCAGCAATTCTTCTGTGTTGTGTTGCATTATCTGCAACTTGCATCACCTGCAACTTGCATCAGCTGCAACTTACATCAGCTGCAACTTGCATCACCTGCAACTTGCATCACCTGCAACTTGCATCACCTGCAACTTGCATCAGCTGCAACTTACATCAGCTGCAACTTGCATCACCTGCAACTTGCATCACCTGCAACTTGCATCAGCTGCAAACGTTGTCATGTGGGACCTCACTCACCCTGGAAAGTCGTCGGCATGGATAATTACCAGCCTTGTGTGAGTCCACTTGTTATATTCCTTCAGCTCGAAACTGCCTTGTGAATGTGACTCATTACCATCTGTCCTTCATGTGACTCTTTACCATCTGTTCTTCATGTGACTCTTTACCATCTGTTCTTCATGTGACTCTTTACCATCTGTCCTTCATGTGACTCTTTACCATCTGTCCTTCATGTGACTCTTTACCATCTGTTCTTCATGTGACTCTTTACCATCTGTCCTTCATGTGACTCTTTACCATCTGTTCTTCATGTGACTCTTTACCATCTGTCCTTCATGTGACTCTTTACCATCTGTCCATCATGTGACTCTTTACCATCTGTTCTTCATGTGACTCTTTACCATCTGTTCTTCATGTGACTCTTTACCATCTGTTCTTCGTGTGTCTCTTTACCATGTGTTCTTCATGTGACTCTTTACCATCTGTTCTTCATGTGACTCTTTACCATCTGTTCTTCATGTGACTCTTTACCATCTGTTCTTCATGTGACTCTTTACCATCTGTCCTTCATGTGACTCTTTACCATCTGTTCTTCATGTGACTCTTTACCATCTGTTCTTCATGTGACCCTTTACCATCTGTTCTTCATGTGCTCCGTGAACCAGTTCAGTGTGTTCCTAGTTATCCTCAGCCTGCTTCCCCTTGTATGCCATCTTTCATATAAGTAGAGTGTTGATGATTAGTGTTGTGCACTCTCAGGAAATACAGTCTGATTAGACTTTTCATATTTTAGTAACCCTGTAATAGAACTCGGTCAGATTTGTCAGGCAGAGCTTTCTATTTCAAAATTCATACTGCCTATTCTGCCTTAAATCCATACTGCCCTTTCGTTACAGACTTGACCCCTTAGTGGCGATCCATCATAATAAACCTGATTAATTCCTCCTACATTTTACGCGAGATACTTATCAGTGACACAGGTCTGTAATTTAGTGCCGCCTATTTTCACCCCTTTTTTCAAGTATTGGGTCTACGTTAGCCTTCCTTCAGGAAACTGGGAGATATCCTTCATGGAAGAGGATATATCCTGCCTGGAGGAGGAGATATCCTGCCTGAAGTGAAATATCCTGCCCAGAAGAGGAGATATTCTGCCTGGAGTGATATATTAAACATTTTTGATAGCGGGTCACAAAGCACTGTTGCCATCTTAGCAGCTGTGGTGATGTGAAGTCTGGATCCATTGGTTTTGTCGTGTCTAGTTCTTTTAGTAATGTGATCTTGGTCACGTGGTGTTCTTGTTTGCGTGTGTTCTTGTTCATGTGATGTGTTTGTTAGCGTGTGTTCTTGTTCATGTGTTCTTGTTAGCGTGTGTTCTTACTAGCGTGTGTTCTTGTTAGCATGTGTTCTTGTTAGCATGTGTTGTTCTTGTTAGCATGTCTCCTTCTTTATGTGGTTTTCTTGTTAGCGGGTGTTGTTGTTGATGTGTTGTTTTTGATGTGTTGTTTTTGTTAATGTATGATGTTGTT